CAGCGGGGATGTCGACGCACGTCTGGCCCTCCCGGGAGTGGAGCCCAGTCGCTCGCTCCCGACGTCCGGCACTCCCCGGAGTAGAGCCCAGTCGCTCGCTCCCGACGTCCGGCACTCCCCGGAGTGGAGCCCAGTCGCTCGCTCCCGAAAGGGTACTCTTGAGCACCAAGAACTGGAGCCAAGTGCCCCACAGGGAGGCAGGTGTCGCCTCTGCACCCTCACATGGGCAGGTCAGTGGGGAGCTGGCAGCTATCCCTCTACCCCGACATCGAGTGCAGCCACGGGCTCCCCACCCGCGTAGGCGCCCACAGGCCCTCGGGCTGCACCTGTCGTTCACCACCACAGTGGGTCAGTGAGGGTGGTCGTGCCGGCGAGAGGAGCTATGAGCCAGGAGTGGGGCAGGCGCGGAGCAGATGGTCAGGTGGGAGGCAGGCGAAGCATTGAGCCCTGTGGTGCCCCGGGGCTGGCGGGGCTCCCCTGAGGTGGGCAGAAGCAGGTGCCGAGAGTGGCAGGCCCTGCAGAGAGCACACACGTGAAGATGGGGGAGCCGTGGCCTGGGCACCGTCACTGCAGTGGAGGATCTTGCTCTTGCCCCACCGTGACACGCCCACGCCAGTCACCAGAACCCCCATTCTGCTGTCTCCCCCAGGATTGGCTTGTGTGTTTTAGGCTCACGTGGAGGACGCCACCCTGCGCTGCCCCGTCAGCATGGCTGGTCTGGGTCATCCGTGAGCGCCTCGGCCGTGCCCTCATGCCGCCGTCCTGCGGTTCAGGTGCCTGTTGGCTTATCCCTGGCTGGCGGAGGGTGCGCTCTTCGCTTTCTCCAGTGAGTCCTGGGCAGGCGCGGGCCCTGCCGGGCTGTGATGTGGAGTGCCAAGAAGCTGCCGTGCCAGTCCCTCGTGGCCGCAGGTTGCCAGGGTGTGACATCTCTGTCCTCCCCATGCCCCCAACAGGATGGTCAGCTCTTTCAGTTTTGGACTCTCTCTTCTTTTTGAAAAATTATTTATTTAATTCTATTTATTTATGCATTTATTTTAATTTGACCAGAGAGAGAGAAGGAAAAAGAGAAAGCAAAACTGCCAGGTCTGGGACTCGTACCATGGTCAGCCATGTGGGAGTGTCTAGCGCTGTAACCATCACGCCACCTGCTGGTCCCACTCTCTCGTCTTAAGGGTGTGTGCTCTCCCTCAAGAGAGACAGAGAAGCCAAAGAGAGAGGAGCGAGCGCACACCGGGCTGTGGCCACGCTGCAGTAGCTGCTCCCCTCCCACCTATTGGTTCGCATGCTCACAAACCCGTGTGTGTCTAAGCTGCCGGGTCCAGGACTTGAGCCCTTGGTCGGCCGTGTGCCAGGCCGTGTGTGTCCCCGGTGCTGGCCACCTCACCTCGTCAGTGCGTCTGGCTGAGGCTTTGTCTCCACAGCGACACCAGCGCTCATCAGCTCCGTGTGAGCTTAGGCGCCATCTGGGGTTGGTTTGTTTTTAGAGGGTTTTGTTTGGAGCACATGTGCTCGCCAGAAAGAGACAGAGTGAGAGGGCAAGGGAGAAGCCACTCCAAGGGGGTGGCCAGGCTACAGTCCCTCCTCTGTCCTCCCAGAATCTTGGGCATGCACACAAGCGGCGCAGCGTGGTCTTCCAGCCCCTGGCCTGGAACTTGAACTGCAGTCAGCCGTGTGGGAGCCCAGCGGTGACTGCTATGCACCTGCTGGCCACCCATCGGTAGGTCCTCCCTGGTGAATGGTCTGTGTACCTTTAAAAATCAGGTACAGGGAACCAGCAGTTAGCGTAATGGCTATGTTGCTGGACTCCCACGTAGTCGACCGCGGTTCGCGTCCCAGACCCGGAGGCTTAAAACTCACGCCGGGCGCGTGTGCATGCGTGCCCAAGATCCCGAGAGGAGAATGGAGGAGAAGGGATTGTAGCGTGACCATCCCCCGTGGGGGGTGATTTCTCACTTTCTGTCTCGCGAGCGCACGCGCCCTATAGTGAAAACCTCTCCAAAAAAAAAATTAAAAAATAAAAATCAGGTACATGCACTGCAGACCCATTTAAGAAGTGCAGAAATTTTTAAATTTCTATGAAGTCCAGTTTATTTTTAAAAAATGTATTTGGGCCATCAGGCAGTGTGGTGGTTAGGCACCGGACTCCCATGTGACTGACTGGTGTAAGTTCCGGACCCATCATCTCGAAACTCACACGAGATACCGCGTGTGCGTGCCCAGGATCACAGTAGGAGGGTGAGGAAGGGACTATGGCGGGTCACCCCGGGGGATTCCTCACCGCTTTTCTCTGGTGAGTGCCTGTGCCATAAAAATGTCTTAAAAAATAGATTCTGCTTCTGGTCTTCTGTTTAAGAAGTTGCCGCCTTTCCCGGACCCTGCAGACCCTGGCCCACGCTCTCTCAGAGCGGTGTTGTGGTTTCGCTTTATACTCAGGCCTGGCGTTTCTTAGGATTGGTTTGTGTATGGTGTGAGGGATGAGTGGAGGTTTGTCTTTGTTTTTTTTTTTTCTTAGAGATTTTTGCTATAGAGATTGTGTGCTCCCCGGAGAGACAAAAAGCAAGAAGTAACCCCCTGGGGGGTTGGCCACGCCTCAGTCCCTTCTCCTTCATTCTCCTCTTGGAATTTTGGGCATGCATGCACAGGGGCCTGATGTGAGTTTCAAGCTGCCAGGTCCGGGACTTGAACCACGGTCAACCATGTGGGAGTCCAGCGATGTAACCATTAGACCATCTGCTAATCCCAGAGTTTTATTTTTTTTGGAGAGATTTTCGCTGTAGGGCGTGTGCGCTCGCCAGACAGAGAGAGACGTTAGAGACAGAAAGCGAGAAATCACCCCCCAGGTCTCCTCTCGGGATCTTGGGCATGCACGCACATGCGCCCGGCGTGAGTTTTAAGCCACCGGGTCCGGGACGTGAACCGCGGTCGACTATGTGGGAGTCCAGCGACATAGCCATTATGCTAACTGCTGGTTCCCTTTTTTTTTTTTTTTTTTAAATCATTTCTTTCTTGAGAGAGACAGCACGCCAGCAAGGTTTTTTTTTTGTTTTTTTTAGAGTGATTTTTGCTATAGGGCACATGTGCTCACCCGAGAGACAAAAAGTGAGAGGTCATCCCCTAGGGTGAGTTTTAAGTTGCCGGGTTCGAGACATGAACTGTGGTCTACCACATGGGAGTCCAGTGACTTAACCATCACGCCATCTGCTGGTCTTATCCCCGCAAGGAGAATAGGTGAGGTCTCCCAGCCTCTGCCAGCCCAGCTCACGAGACCCTGGATGCGAGCTGGGAGCCTGCCGTGTGGATGTGC